GACAGGGGTGTTTCAACTCATCTTGAGTACTTGCACCTCCTTAGCAACAACAATGATTTGTTATGCTATGTTGGCGAGTGAGTCAACTGGACCTTGTACCATTTTTACTATAGCGGGAGAAGTCCTCCTTGTAGAATACTCATGACGTTGTTTTCTATGGATGCCTCCCATGTTCGAAATGATCCTTGTTGTTGGCTATATAGCCATCTCTTTGCCTTTCCCCAAAGAGAGAAAGGAAAGAGATGTAGTCGTATTGCGTAGGCCTCCACGTCTGGCTGCTGTGAAGAATCACATATCTCCAGAAACCTTTTGATGTGCTCAACCAGATTCTTGTTTCCACGACCCTCAAAATGTCAAGTAATGTGGACCATATGGATCATTGAAGTATGCAGATGGAAGTTAAGCAGGTGACCTGAGCTAGGATGATGTCGGAACCGATGTTCGTAGCTTGACGTCTTGTATACTCATAGAGAGTTCATTCGTCCATACCTCAAAGCGATTGGGACTCTGAGGGAGAGGAGTTTCTCTTGATATTCGAACCTTCATCGAAAAGGGGGTAGGAGGGAAGAGTAGTTAGTATCTTATAAAATGAATCAGAAGTACAACTCCTATACTCACTTCCTTGGGAAAATATTTTATGTTTAAACTTCTTGACTTTGTCCCTAGTTTGTGAAGGGCTCATGAACAGGAAAGGGGTCGAATTTTGGAACGAAAAAAAATCCCTCAAAAATCAAGGCCACCTACGACGTAAATTCAGAGGATTTTTGTCGCTTTGGTCGCCATTTTTGGAATCACTGCATCTGGTCCATGGACTTGGGCCACACACACGACACAAAACCAATTAAAAAAATATAAAAAGAAAATTAATTAACAAGAAAAATGAAATAAACACAAGACATGGCGCTCCAGCCCGGTCGTCGGGACTACTTTTGAATCAATACATAAAAATTAAACAAAAGCACAAAAGAGAATATAATCTTACCTAATTCCCTTTTCCGAAGCTTGCCAGATGTCCACGACAATGGCGTTAAAATTTGATCCAACGATTGTAGCACGTACCGAATTTACCTAGCCCTAAGGTCATGATCGTATTTCTTAGGGTCTCTTGCAAAACCCTTACTTCAGAAGCGAGGTACGGTTCCGCAGGAGACTGAGGTGCCTCTGGTTTTGCAGAAAAGTAAATATGAGCTCCCCCTACGTCTCCTAACTATGTGTCCCTCGATGATCGGTGGCATACGATCTGCTGAATTCTTATTTCGTTAGATCCCACCTTGTGACGAAATATTTACGCAAAATAATGGGTGACAAGAACCCTTCGGATTTCTCCCTTGAGGCTTCCCGTTGTTCGATCGAGTAGGACTACTATTTCTCGTCCCATCCTAAACGACTTGGATTTCAATCCTTGTAGTTTTAAGGAATTCAAGGTCGACTTAAGATCTCATTCGAATAAAAAAAAATAATGAAATAGAGGAAATCAATCATCACACATATGAAATAAACAACATCGTATGTATTAAACCAAACATTGAGTTTACATGGTTCGAACCTCTAGGTTCACATACGTATGCAACTAAGGAACGTAGCCAGCCATGGAGGGGGGTTCTTGGATGTTTATCGATTGTAATGAAGGCACTAGAACACCCACATGAAACGGCATCGGTGATAGAAAACAAGCCCAGGGGTGCCATTTCTGGCGATTTTTTTACCTTAGAGTTTGGTCTCGTCCTAATTCATGAGGGTTGCTTTGTCGACAGATTAATGTCTCTTCCTTGACCTCTCATCTCTCCTCCCCTATTTCCTATCTCTAGGACCTAATTACAGGCCTTTGATTAGGCTTTCTAAGGAGGTAAACTCGCAGGTCTAGCGTCATTCACCCAATCAGGATGCCCCGAATATGAGTAAGGGGCTTCAAAATGATGGCTTCCTGACAAAGTAGTTGGCTTGTGTAAAACAACGTCATTTCCTTCGTTGCTCTTCACCAAAATGGTGCCTCGGGCGCCGTTTCTTCCAGGAATTCTGTCTTTGAATCCCAGCTCCAGAAACTAAGTCTCGATGTCCCCTACGGCTTCCAATTAGTCTACCAGTGTGCTTTTACCTGAAAATGAACAAAATGCTACCAAAGCATATCAATTGTATAAATGCAATCTTAGGTTTCTAGAACCCGCGTAAAGCAATCATATCATAAATTTAAGGTATTATGAGGTCTGGAATACATAATTTACATGTCATCAATACATTTCCCTATTAAGTTTTCTAAGTCCCATTTTCACTTCCTGCAGCTTTCCATAAAAAACATAATGAGGATATCATTTTACTACCTTCTTCCATCCTTCCTTGATAAGGTTCACGTACATTGGGTGCAATTGCTAGAAGACAATTAGTATTTGCTGAGCTCACAGGGAAATTTCCAGCCAAGCTTCATTCACAAGTAATCTATCAATTCATAGCCCTATATTCATTCCACCAAATAAACCACAAACTAGCGACCTTATGATCAACAACTTCCATGTCACTAATAACCCCTAAAATCAAGCATGCTTTGTGTAATAACTTGTGTATTTGATAATTCATTCAACTTTGTAATGACAATAAAGTCTCCAAAAATGGTCATTGGCACATTACTTTCCTTTCTTGGTAGCATTTCCGAATATAATCTCTTCCTAAGGGCTATACACGAACATTACTATAAAAGAAGTTTGATCTTCCACCATTACCATAAAGTAGTCTTTACCTTCAGCAAGTCGAGTGACTTTCAAACCCAATCTCCAAAAAATCCATACCGCATATAATTAAATTTTGAATAGTTATCCAAATGTTCCCGGGCAGAAAAAGCACCAGATATGATTGCATTGCTATTTTCTTCCATTACACGAGTTTCCAGCAGGCCTAATATATATATTTTCAGCTTTCTCAACTGTGCTACAACAGCTGAGTGTTTATCCGGGATCATTAAAACTCCTGATATTCCAAATGATCAAATTCATTTACCTCTCTTCCTCTCCTTATCCCTTTAGGAGGAGAAGGAGGTGAAGCCACAACTTTGCTCCCATAATGATTTCTATTCAAATTAGGGAAGGATCCATAATCAAGTAGCGCATGCATACTCATTGGGAGTACCTGCAGGACATCATGATGGGTTTCCTAATGATTTTACTACTCGATAATTATCCAGCCTTAGTCCTATGTCTTCAATTTACCATCAAGGCAAATCCCTCATTATCAATTAGCCCTGCTACTATGGGAGGAGTTGTAGCAGCTGCAGTTACTTGCCTTATAGCCTCTACTACTTCCTCTTTTATCTACTGAAATTGATTTACCCTTCTCCTTAACTACCACATCAAATGATTCAATTGTCTTCTCCGGCTCAACAACTTCTACTATAACCAGAGTCTTGACAATCCAAATTTTCTTACTAGGCTCTATAGGTAATGCATAATCATGTCCAAATCACTTACACTTCTCACACACCCTTGGCATATGACAGTATTCCACATCCACAAATAGCCCAGACAAACCATCTGGTGTAATAATAAACTTGATTGGCCATTTTGGAGTTGCCTTATTTCCTCACAGATATGCGCAAACCTTATATATTTTCCTTCCATTCCTTGTAGATTTATCCATACATAATTGTCGACCTAAGGAACTAGCAACTCACCCTAGCCCCTTTCTTTGGATGTGAGCTCAATTGGTAAATTGAAAAGTCGAATCCAAATGGGGAGAGCAGTGTTATCAATCGCTAGCAGGTGATCTCTGCTCCTATTTACGAAGGAAAACAAGATTCTCATGATGATGCCATGGTCTGTTCTCGAAGACCCGCTCTCAAAATTTTTTCTCTCTTCCTGCCCCTCGCGTCAGTTTCGCGTCTTTTCGCTCTTTGGAGCTTTCTCAGAGCTTCCAATCTAGTGGCATAAATGGCTCTTTCATCGGGAATCTGGTTGCATATGAATTACCGTTCTTTATTATTATGTGTTTTGTATTTTGTTGTCCGACATGCCTTGGGGGCTTATCTTGGTTAAAAAAAATGGAAGAGGATAAGCTTCGTACCCATCTTGGAACTTCTCTACCCTTCCCCCGTATCCAGTTAGACCAATACATAATTGATGAAACGGAGGCAAGCCAATCAAAAAATTTACATATGCTCACAAAGTTAGCACCTTCTTCAATCACCTCCCACGGAATGCGTAATGAATTATTAACATACTCTGGCTCAAAAGCGTTCAGATGGTTATCCTTCGGGATTCCAAATAATGAAGCCCACGAACTACTGTCACCAATAGCTGCCGCAACATCCGTCATCTGGTTTATTCCAATGATGAAATTTTCCTATATTTTTAATGAAATAAATTCAACAAAATTACAAAATTTATTTATTTTCTTATTTATAAGAGTGTAGTTATAGTAATGTAATAATTTGAATTTTTTTATGAAAACAATCAAACATGTCTTACGTCGGACTCAAATCTAGTTAGTATGTTATCGACTATCAAGCCTTATTTTTTTTGGTGGACTATCAAGCCATTCATCCAATAAATTAAGAATTCCGCCATGTAAAAAAGAAATTGTACTCAAATTGTACTCAAATTATGAGGAGTTATAAGCTCTCCACATGCACAAAGGTGATATATAAGTGATCAATATGTATTAGGATCCCTACTACTGTGCTTAGTCAGTCACAAAAACCCTTTATCTATCTTATCCAAAGTGATGCATTCCTAAATTCGGGGATGGGAATTCCAGTTGGATTACTAACGAACTACCAGTCTTTCTTAAATATGAGTTAATCACACTATTAAACGTGAAATAACTCCCGAAAAATACCCAATACTATAGCTTAAAAACGAATATTCTATCGACCACCCCAATGTTCGTCTATTAATCAAACACTAATCCCCTGAGAAAAAATTGGACAAGGTACGGGATAAGATCTATATAAACACTCTTAACTCACTCACCCTCTTCACCCTTCCTAATTAATTTCTCGGATTCCCTCTCGTGTTCTCCTATTAATTAACAACAGCAAGATGGTTGCCGGAGTAGGTCCCAACGGTGGCGGCGGCGGCGGCGAGTATCCGGGCAGGTTCACCGGCTTCGTGGCGGTGACATGCATCTTGGGCGCCATGGGCGGTCTCATCTTCGGCTACGACATTGGCATCTCCGGTAACTAAAATTTTCTCACTACGTAATACGTAATTAATTCCCATCTGTTAGTAGCTAACGGCAATTTTATTGATTCTGTAGGTGGTGTGACGTCCATGGCTCCGTTCCTGAAGAAATTCTTCCCCGGAGTATACCACAGGGAGATCAACGACCGGTCGCACAGCCAGTACTGCAAGTTCGACGACTTCACCCTCACCGCTTTCACCTCGTCGCTGTACGTCGCGGCTTTCTTCGCCTCCCTCGTCGCTTCGACCGTCACTAAAAAGTTCGGCAGGAAGTGGTCCATGTTCCTCGGTGGACTCATCTTCCTCTCCGGCGCTCTCCTCAACATGTTCGCTTCTCACGTCTCCATGCTCATCGTCGGCCGCATACTCTTGGGTATCGGCGTCGGCTTCTCCGTCCAGGTTCGTCTCCAAATATTGTCCGCTTTGTGCTAAACTGCACAGATCTATTATTAATACGATAGTGTCCACTTTATACCAAACCTGTACAGAATCTATTATTAATACGATAGTATCCACTTTATGTTGAATACATATATATTATTAGTACGATTTTGTCCACTTTTTTACTAAACCAGCATAGATTTACTTTCGTTTAATGATGTTGTTATTATGGGCATGCAGTCGGTCCCACTGTACGTGTCGGAGATGGCGCCGCACAAGTACCGAGGCTCCCTCAACATCGTGTTCCAGCTGTCAATAACGGTCGGGATCTTCGCGGCCAACCTGGTCAACTACTTCACCCCGAGGCTGACCGTCGTGGACGGGTGGCGCGTCAGCCTGGGAGGCGCGTGCGTGCCGGCCCTCATCATCATGGTCTCCTCCTTCTTCCTCCCCAACACCCCCAACTCCATGCTCGAGCAGGGCAAGCCGAAAGAAGCCCGCGAGATGCTCCGCCGCATCCGCGGCGTCTCCGACCAGGAGGTGGAGGCCGAGTTCCGCGGCATCGACGAGGCCAGCGCCGCCGCCAGGGCCGTGGAGCACCCGTGGCGGAACATCCTCCTCCGCCGCAACCGGCCGTACCTCGTGATGTCCCTCCTCATCCCGTCGTTCCAGCAGCTCACCGGGATCAACGTCGTGATGTTCTACGCGCCCGTGCTGTTCCAGTCCATCGGGTTCAAGAGCGACGCCGCCCTCCTCTCCGCCGTCATCACGGGGACCGTCAACGTCCTCGCCACGTTCGTGTCCATCTACGGCGTAGACAGGTTGGTTGGGGAAATCAAAACTGTTGCGTATTATTACTGAAACCACGTAGGATTTATACTGAATTCTATACATACTCTAATACAGGTGGGGGCGGAGGTTTCTCTTCCTCGAAGGCGGCGTCCAGATGATTGGTAGCCAGGTGGCGATCGCCGCGCTGATTGGGTGGAAGTTCGGGGTTACCGGCGACGTGACGGTGCTTCCCGCGTGGTACGCATGGCTGGTGGTGGGGCTGATCTGCTTCTACGTGGCGGGATACGCGTGGTCGTGGGGCCCGCTGGGGTTCGTGGTCCCCTCGGAGATCTTCCCGCTGGAGATAAGGTCGGCGGGACAGAGTATTAACGTGTCGATGAATATGTTCTTCACGTTTCTGATCGCGCAGTTGTTCCTGACGATGTTGTGCCACATGAAGTTTGGGCTGTTCTTGTTCTTCGCGTGTTTTCTGGTGGGGATGTCGGTGTTCATCTACTTCTTCTTGCCGGAGACGAAAGGGGTCCCGATCGAGTCGGTGGCGCGTGTGTTCAGGGACCACTGGTACTGGCGCCGGTTCATGGTGGCGGATGATGACGACCATAAGGGCGGCCCCGGCGGGAAGAAGTTTCATTCGACCGCCGTTTAGAAATTATTATTATTATCATCATATTTTTATTTTGTAATTAATAGTCGGTTTTGCGTACTCTTTGATTTTTTTTTGTAGGAATTAGTTTGGGTAGATATTTGATATATATTCAGAGGATGTTAGTGTTATATATTGTTACTAATGACCTATAAATAAATAAATAATTATTGGCTTCGTTTCATACTATGAACGTATGGATGCATAAGAAGTTCTTTAATAGAATACGAGCACTTCTACTATGTTATAGAGCATTGGTGCTTCAATGTACAAGTACAACTCATAGTTGTACCATAACATTAAATGTATAAGTTTAGGTTGTACCATAAAGCAATTTGTATCATTATGTTATGGTACAACTTTACAACGTGAAGTTGTACCATCACATAAAGGTACAAGTTCAAGTTGTACCATAAAAGAATTTGTACAAAAAGTATATGTACAATTTGAAGTTGTATCATAACTTAAATGTACAATTTTAAATTGTACCATAAAGGCAAAAACCTATAACACCAATACTATATAACATTGTAAAATTTCTCATAGAACACTTGTTCGACTCGGACATTTCCCAATTGTTTTTACCGTTATCTTACTAATAAGAACACCTCCAGACCTCGGCAATATAGTTGTAAATGTAGTTAAGATGTAACCCTAATTAAACAGAAACTTTTCAAACCCGTTCACGATGGGACGGTTATAATTAGTTGGGTTTCGATCATCAATGTACTGCCAACGTAAGTAGCCACTTTTGGTTAATTTCCATTCAATCGCACTAATTTAACATTTAAAAAACCAGTTGCTACCTATTATAACTCGAGAAATATCCATCTTGCTGTTGTTAATTAATAAGAAAAATAACTCGAGAAATAGCCACTTTTTAGAAGCTACGTGATTGTGCTGGATGGAGAAATATCCAGAACCAATTAGGTGTGAAATAAATGTGACAGTTGTAAAATAAAAAAATAAAAAAAAATAGCAAACATAAGCTTAAGTCGGTTAGTGGTGATGTTTGTAACTTGGAGCCTATAAATAGGCTTGGTTGGATGTGTCAGAAAAAGTAGAGCATAAGCAAATATATATATAATAAGAGTTCCTTTCTTTCTATACAATCTCTGCCAACCTCTCCTTCCATAAAATTCTCTTCCCTTGTCCAAATAATATACCCAAACCTCCCACTCTCTCTTACAAACGTGTAAGACTATCACAACAAACTCAAAGTTTTATTTAGCCCATAAACGAGCCCACCACAGCCTAAAGAAAATCGTTATATTATTTCCAATAAAGTGGTATCAGAGCCCGAGTTATTCTTAAGTATGCTCTGTGGTTGCAGCGTAGTCTGAACTTCCACATCAGAAAAGAATTTCTCGTGTTTTTGTTATCATGATTGTCCCATGGCCGAAAAATCAAGTTTCCCCATTTAATTCCCCCACCTTACCAAAACCAATTACAAAAATTGGTGCATTCGTATGAAAGCCTTGTTGGGATCCCAAGATGCTTGGGATATTGTTGAGAAAGGTTACGAGATTCCCGCGGAGGATTCTCGGTTATCTCCTGCTGAAAAGGAGGTATTGAGAAAAAATAGAAAGAGTGATCAAAAGGCACTCACTCTAATTCATCAATGTCTTGATGAATCCATGTTCGATCAAATAGCATATGCTACCACGGCTAAAGAAGCATGTGAGATTTTGCAAAAGAAATGCAAGGCGTAGAACCAGTAAAGAAGGTTCGACTTCAGACACTAAGAGGAGATTTTGAAGCCATTAAAATGAAGGAAGGTGAATCTGTTTCAGATTACACCGCCCGTGTGAAGTTAGTTGTCAGCAAACTGAAGTAGTATGGGGAGAAAATTGAAGAGAACAAAGTGGTGGAGAAAATTCTACGATCATTATTACCGAAGTTCGATTATGTGGTGGTGGCCATGGAGGAAGCAAAAGATGTGTCAAAAATGACAGTGGATGAAGTCATCGGCTCATTGCAAGCACGAGAGGAAAGACTAAATAAAAGAAATGAAGAATCGTCAGAGCAAGTGTTAGCTACAAAAGCTACCACTGAGGAGAAAGAAGGTGCTCGAGGAGGAGGCCAGTTCAGAGGTCGAGGCAGAGGCAGCTACAGAGGCAGAGGAAGAGGAAGAGCTCGAGGAGCATATCAAAGTAGAGATGGAAGAAATTTCACCATGAACTATGAAACGTCCACCAAAGGCAGAGTTCGTGGTCGTGAACGTGGAAGAGGAAGTTGGAGATCAAATGAAGGTCGCGATAAATCCAACGTCCAGTGCTGTAATTGCTCGAAGTATGGGCATTATGCATCGGAATGTTAGAGTCCGCCTAAAGAAGTGGAGGAGACGGCAAACAACGTGCAAGAAGAAGAAGTCAAAGGCACATTGATGTTGTCACATCAAGGAGATGAGAAACCGAAAGACAACATGTGGTATCTGGATAATGCAGCAAGCAACCACATGTGCGGTAAAAGAAACATGTTCGTGGATATGGATGAATCGGTGAAAGGAAATGTCGTATTTGGAGACTCCTCGAAAGTTCCTATCAAAGGGAGAGGTACTATACTCATTCGATTGAAGAATGGCTCACAGCAATCTATCAGTGATGTGTACTATGTCCCAAATATGACAAGTAACATCCTGAGTTTGGGTCAATTGATGGAGAAGAATTATGAAGTCCACATGGTGAATCGTCAACTGGAGCTGTTAAATGAGAAGAAGCAGTTGTTGGCCAGAGTCCCAATGTCGAGAAACAGAATGTTCACCATGAACATTCAGACTGAAATGGTGAAGTGTTTGAAAGCATGTGTGAAGGACACTACATGACTATGGCATATGAGGTATGGCCATCTAAATTTTGGAGGCCTAAAGTTACTCGGTCAGAAGAAGATGGTGCATGGTCTGCCAGTGATCAATCATCCAGACCAGTTGTGTGAAGGATGCTTAGTTGGAAAGCAATTTAGCGCAATTTTCCCGAAGGAATCCCTGTCACGAGCTAAAGCACCACTTGAGCTCGTCCATGCAGATCTCTGTGGACCGATCACTCCAACATCATTTGGGAAGAACAAATATTTTCTACTGTTCATCGATGACTACAGTAGAAAGACATGGGTGTACTTCTTGAAGCAGAAGTCAGACACATTTGAAGCTTTCAAGAAGTTCAAGATGCTCGTGGAGAATGAAAGTGGCCGCTACATCAAAGCAATGAGATCAGATAGAGGTGGAGAATTTATGCTAAAGAAGTTTATAAGGTTCTGTGAATATGTAACATCCCGAACCTTTTCCCGACAAGATACTGTCCGCTTTGGGCCTCTACACCCGCACGGTTTTCGACTTGGGGTGCAATTCAGGGTGACTTCCCGTAAGGTCACCCATCCTTGTTGTGCTTCACACTGAGCACGTTTAACTTCGGAGTTCTCACAAGAACTCCTCCATTACACCCCAAAACGCGTCTTGTCAGTTAAGGCCGGTTTCCTACTTATGAACCATGGATCTCTCCCGTGCTTTGTCGATGTGGGATTTGCCTAAGGCGTTACAAAATATCAAGGAATTCGCAGGTTTCTCACAGTCTCAAAGATCCCCACAGCAGAATGGAGTCGTTGAGAGGAAGAATAGAACTTTCCTCAACATGGCGAGAAGCATGATGAAGAGCAAGAACCTGCAAAAGGAGCTATGGGCTGAAGCTGTTGATTGTGCAGTCTACCTCCTGAACAGGTCACCAACAAAGAGTGTTTGGAATCAAACACCCCAAGAAGCTTGGAGCGGAAGGAAACCCACAGTCTCTCACCTCCGAGTCTTCGGAAGTGTCGGATATGTGCACGTACCGGATCAAGAAAGGAAGAAGTTGGATGACAAAAGCAAGAAGTATATATTCCTTGGATACTCAGAACACTCAAAAGGTTACAAGATGTTTGATCCCGTGGAAGTGAAGCTGATCATCAGCAAAGACGTGGTAGTTGATGAAGAAGCAACATGGGATTGGACTGCTGAAGCAAAGAAGAATTAAACTTTTTATCCATTCACTATGGATGAAAGTGATGATGAACCAGATACAGCTACACCTTTGACAAGTCCACCCAGTCACAGAGAGAGCCAGCCAGCCCAGAAGGAAGTTCAAGTGAATGTCCGAAAGAGTGGCCACAAAAATACAGACGACTTGAAGAAATTTATGAGGAAACGACAACCATTGAAGGTGATGAATTGACACTTTACTGACTACTGTCATTTCATTGATAATGAACCAGTGGATGTTGAAGAAGCCATGAAGGATGAAAAATGGAAGAAAGCTATGGATGAAGAAATTGAAGCAATTGAGAAGAACAACACTTGGGAGCTTGTGTCACTCCCTGAGAACCAGAAGCCCATCGGTGTGAAGTGGGTATTTAAAGCAAAGAAGAATGCAAAAGGAGAAGTTGTCAGGCACAAAGCAAGATTGGTGGCGAAAGGGTATAGTCAGAGACCAGGCATTGACTATAATGAAGTTTTTGCTCCCGTGGCAAGAATGGAGAGTATCAGGATGGTGATATCTCTCGCTGCTCAAAATGGATGGAAGATACACTAGATGGATGTGAAGTCAGCTTTTCTGAATGGATATCTTGAGGAAGATATCTATGCGGAGCAACCTCCTGGATATATCGTTGAAGGCCAAGAAGATAAGGTGTTGAAGCTGCAAAAGGCACTGGCACTAGCAAAGAATCCAGTGTTGATAATAAGTCTGCCAGTCAGGAATCCAGTGTTTCATGATCATAGTAAGCACATTGATACAAGATATCATTTCTTAAGAGAATGTGTGGAGCAGAAAGAAGTGATGCTAAAGTATGTGAAGACTGAAGACCAGATTGCTGATATTTTCACGAAGCCGCTGAAGCAAGATGTGTTCGTCAAGATGAGGACGCTACTCGGAGTAATGACGAATTAAACTTTAAGGGGGAGTGTTGAAATTAAATAAAGTTTAAATTATCAAAATATCTGAAAATTGCTAGAAGCTACGTGATTGTGCTGGATGGAGAAATATCCAGAACCAATTAGGTGTGAAATAAATGTGGCAGTTGTAAAATAAAAAAATAAGAAAAAATAGCAACCATAAGCTTAAGTCGGTTAGTGGTGATATTTTGTAACTTGGATCCTATAAATAGGCTTGGTTGGATGTGTCAGAAAAAGTAGAGCATAAGCAAATCTAGACTACT